GTTTATTGGAGATAGGAGTCTCACGGTCTCTCCTGCCTGGGCTGGCTTTGAACCTCAATCCTCAGATCTCAGCCTCCTGAGTAGCTAGGATTACAGGCGTGAGCCACCAGCGCCCGGCCCTCTTTCATTTACTAAGAGACTTGCTAGATCTAGGCCTTTTTGATGCTTACTATCAAAGAAGGAATAAGAAAGATCTTATGAGCCAGTTAAGGCCTCTATGGAGAAGAGTAAACGATTATGTGAACGGGTTACAGAAAAGACACTATGAGCTTAGATTTGATATATGGCCAGATTTAACTAAGTATACTGAATATCATGATTTTTGGCCACAAATTGGGAACCCTCTAAGCACAATTGCTTTCTTAAAAATAGAGGTAAAGCCTGGAACAAGTGCCTATAGTCATACCTTGTCATCCAAAAAACAAGATCAGGCGACCAGCTGGTGACCACCCAAGAACGAAGTCCTGCAGCAAGATTGTGGAACCTTTTGCCCTTTCTCATGGAGACTTTTGCTATAAAAGCTTGTTATCCTCTGCATTAAATTGCACTCAGCATCCACTCCTCTTGTGTGTGAGTTGTCTGTTTGCCATCTCCTCACCTATTCCAGGTCCTCCACTAGGTGTCCTCCGTTGTCCCAACAGAGCCGGTCCATGGCACTGGTACTTATACTTTGTTTTCTTTTCAAATTCACATACTATCACATTACTTGTTCGTCTGTTTTAGGACTCAAAGTCTGGGCCTGGGCACTGATCTCGAGCTTCTTTTGTTGAAGGCTTGGCATTTGAGCCCCAGCTCTACTTCCAGTTTACTTTAACACAAGCTGGAAGTGAACAGCCAGCCTGTTCCTGGCTGATCCCTGGCCAGGAGTGTGTGGTTGGAGACCAGATTTCTTTCCCTGGCTTCCAGCACCTCCTTCCCTGGGACATTTCCATACCTTTCCTGGTGATTTTGATACCAGCGGGAACAAGCTCCTCTGGGGCATCAGGGAGGTTGGACATCTTGTTCTCCTTCATCGCCTGGAAGGAACTGTTCTCCAGGACCAAGTCCAGCTCTCGCGGTTCCAGCGCCTTCCCCAGGAACCCACAGATCTTCTCTACCATGCTCCTTGGGTCCTAAGAGGAGAAAAACAAGGGCTCAGGTATGAGAGGGGACAACAGAGCAGGAGTGAGGAGGAGGGAGCAGGAGAAGAGAGAGACAGCAGAAGGCACTGGCAGGAGAGAGGATGGGTGGCCTGTGGAGGTGCGGGCGTGACTCAGTGGGTAGAGCACCAGCCAAAAAGCAAAACTGAGTTCAAGACTCCATCCATCTTGAAACAAAAATAAAAAAGAAAGAAAAGGAGGCTGAGAGGATTGCAGGAAGGAATAACACACAACCGGATGTAGAAAGTTGACATAGAAAGTTGGGATGGAGACTGGGGGGAGGATATTGGGGAAGAAGATACTGGAGAAACAGGGGAGATGGTAGAAGGGGTGAAGAGGGCCGTGGTGGGGTGCATGTAAAATCAATCATTACCTTTTTCATCTGCTCATAACTGAGGATCAGCACGTTCTCCTTTTCCCTCATGGACATCCAGCCTCGGACGTGATCAAACCATGACCCGTAAGGCACTGCAGGGGGAACAGTGGGGCAGTGTGCAAAGTCTGCACCATTCCCGATCTGCATGGTGGTTTCAGCACTGATCGCTCTGGTCCCTGTCACCTTCACCAGGGTGTCACTGAGAAATAAGTCCTGTCTCTTTATAGCCTCAAAGAGAGAACTCTACCAAGTACTGGTGGCTCACGCCTGTCATCCTAGCTACTTAGGACACTGAGATTTGAGGATCACTGTTCAAACCAGCCTGGACAAGAAAGTCTATGAGACTCTTATTGCCAATGAACCACCATAAAACCAGAAGTGGCGTTGTGGCTCAAGTGGTAGAGTGCTGGCCTTGAGCTAAAGAGCTGAGGGATAGCACCCAGGCCCAGAGTTCAAGCTCCATGACTGGGAGAAAAGGGGAAGGGAGGGAAAGTGAGGGAGGGAGAGGGAAATAGAGCAAACACAAGCACTGTGGAGTCAGGACATGGATTTCTAAGCAATTTTTTCTGTAGCACAACTTTTGCCCCATCTGAAGCAGGTCACCAAATGCCACACCAAAACCTCTGACTGGTACAAAGAGCTCTGCAGGCCCCCACAGAACTCAGGCTGAGGGCCTTCCATGCAAAGTTGGCCCAAATCCACCCAAATCCATCATTTGCACAACTGAGCACAAGTCTGAGTGCAAGGCCTGAGCTGTGACACACGCACACGAGGCACCTGCCATCGCTGCCCATGGCTCCCAGCAGGTCAGTCTGCAGAGGCCTTGGTGTGCTTTATTCTACTGGAAACATCTTTGCTTGAAATCAGGGCCAGAGCACTGTCCCTCGGTTTCTACACTCCTCTCTACCACTTGAGCCACACCTTCACTCCCTGTATCATGATGATTGAGTGGGTATGAGAGCCTCAAGGACTTTCTGCCTGGGTTGGCTTCCAACTCTGACCCTCAGCTCTCAGTTCCTGAGTAGCTGAGATTATAGGCATGATCCACCAGCCCTGACTATAGATCCAAGTGTTAAGAGATGTTGAATTAGGGGAGAAACAGCTCATCAGGCACTTCTACTGGTTGTGAAGCTAAACCCAGAGGGCCTGAGACACCAGATGATGAGGTACATAGAGCACAGATGTGGGGTCCCCCCACCCTTCATACCCAACTCAGGCCATGGACCCCTCACAGAACCATGGACAAGTGACAAAATTACAAGCATGAGGAATGACCCAGAACTTTTGCATGACTAGAAACAGAGAGATCCTAACTTCAAGAGAGAAACTCTGACACAGACAGCCAAACAAATTTAAAATATAAAAATACGTAGGGAAGGTAGAGTTGGGTTGTGTGGGAAGCCAGTGAGAAGCTGTGAGCCAACATCTGGGAGTAGAGCACACAGGAGGGGGCAGGTCCTCCATGGCTACGGAAGCTCCAGGGGCTCAAAACACCTTGGGACCTTCCATCATGGGAGAAGTCTGGTGCTGCCTTTAGCCAATGTGAGTTCTGGGAGGAGGAAGCATTGGACCCACAGATGGTGAGATTTAAAGGAGACCTTGGAGGGAGGGGACACTCAAAGAGGTTTAAATCCTTCTCCATTCACTTCACAGTCTACTCACCATATCCTTGCAAGAACCATTCAAAAAATTGTTCCAGTGACTCTGGTTTCTTAGCCAGATTTGTAAAACTCCAGAAATAATAAGCAGATATAAGGACATCCTTAGGATTTCTGATGACATAGATCATCTTCAAGGGAGAAAGGAGAGAATTAAACAATTTTCCCATCATTTCTTGCACTCTTGGTGTTCAGAGAAATTCTAGCCATTTTTTGCTCCAACATTGAAGTATCTGTTGGTCTTTTGGTTGTGCATTAGTTTGTGAAATACTTTTCAGAGTTTCTACAATCAAATCACTTTGCCAAGAGTAAAACAATGGTGGGACAATGCATTTCCTAAACGTATCTGGGATATTTACCTAGAAAGCACAGGAGATCAGACACTGGTTAGCCTTTCTTGGCTACAGATTTATGAGTTGTTCTGTAAACATCATTGAAACATCTGGGCATGGGTGGCTCTCACCTGTAACCACAGCTACTCAGACAGTTCAGATCTGAGGATCATAGTTTGAAGCTAGCCCAGGCAGAACAGCTCATGAGACACCCATCTCCAATTAACTACCTGAAAACCTCAAGGGGAGCTATGGCGCAAACTGGTAGAATAACCGCTTTGAGTACAAAAGCTCAGGGACAGCTGTGAGTTCAAGTCCCAGGAGTGGTACAAAAACAAAACAACAAAAATCCATTGAAGGAGGGAGCCGAAATGATACAACAGAGATTTCACAGCACAGGCGCCCATTTCTATGGTGTTCAGGAGCAAATCTAGGTAGCATTGTGCCAGGGAAGAGTGTGCATGGTTTGTGGTGTGGGCTGGGCTGGGGAAACGGGACAAAGGCTCCTGGTCTGATCTGGCCATGAGCACCAGGTGTTTATTCACTGCACAGCCTTCAGAGTCAGGCCACTGACACCAGGTCACATGACATGGTGTCATGTTTTTCTTTTCTTTTTTTTACTCAGGGCCTATGTGCTGTCCCTGTGTTTTTGTGCTCAGGCTGGTGCTTTACCACTTGAGCTGCTGCTCCACTTCTGGCTGTACTTTTGATAGCTCATCAGAGATAAGAATCACCTGGCCTTTCCTACTTGGTCTGACTTCTGATCTTGATCCTTAGATCTCAGCCTCCTTTTTA